AAACTCAACTGTCAAAAAATCTTAACCCCTGAATATACTTAAGAAAAAATATTAATGTGTGACTTGCTTTAGAAAACTATAAAATGAAACTAATAAATACAAATGCCTATGTTCTTAAGAAAGATAGGATTTTTTAATATTTCTGAAAAAATAATTTATACAATTCATGATATTCTCAAAAGAATAAATAGGCAAAAATTTTCAAGAAAAATATTCTATAAGAAGAGTAACTTGGGAAGAAGGGTCATTTCCCTAGCAAGTGTTAAAACTAGTGTTAAGACAGTATGATGTTATCATAGATAAAATCAGAAAGGTCAACCAAACAGAGTAGCCTGGAACTTAAATTATATAATAATTCAATATATGATGAATTCAAGGTGATGTAACACATCATTATATATATATATATATATATATATATATGTATAATTTATACTTATATGCTTTTCCCCTAATATCATACACCAGAATAAATTGTAAATGGATTAAATAACTAAATTATAAGAAAAAATTTAATCCCAGCAGTAATTATATATGTGAATATTTATCAATTTGGTGGATAATTGTAAATAATCCAACAGTTTCACAAGGCTCTTCAGTTACTGTTAACAAATGTCTTACCCCCAAAAGAGGGGCTTTAACTAACCAAAGATATTTTCCTGCTGAAATGCCAAAGTGAGTCTGTTGCAGGTTCTGCTCCACATATCCTTCCTCTGGATCCCAGGCTGATGGAGCAGCTGTATTGTCCCAGTCACCAGGACAGAGAAACAAAAGAGAGCTCTGGGGTTGCCTCAGTGGCCATTAAGTCCTCTGTCCAGGAAGCGGCACACGTAATTTCTGCTCACAAGTCATTGGACACAGCCCAATCCAATCCCAATTAGGTGTAATCCATTCATACATTCCGAAAGGAAAGAGCCAGAAAATTTAATAACTATTACAAATGTTTCATGTTTGAAGGAAAAAATCAATATATTTGACATTATAAAAACTTAAAATTTCCTTCCTAAAATCTACTCAGCATTAAGAGCTCAATAATAAACTGGGAAATATTTGCAATAAAAATGTCAAATGCTTTGAATCCTTATGAGTAAGAGAGAAACTTACCTCAGTAACAAAAACAATGATATTTCAAAATATAAAAAGACAAAGGACAGGAACAAGTCATTTAAAATTACAGACATACAAATAGGTAGTAAATAAGTTTTAACAATTAAACTCATCCATATTAAAAAGGATGAAAATTAAAGCAATAATAAATACTTTCTGTCACAGTTAGTGTGTGAAAGAAACCATACAGATTTTCAGTGAGGTTGTCATTCAGTTAGGCATTTCTACACAGTGGATGCCAAGTACAAATTGGTCAGCCTTCACATCTGCCTTCTGCATGGCAATGTAGCGTTATGTAACAAAAGCTTGAACTGTTTATAACATATGACCTAATAACTACATTTCAAAGCATTTTCCTTTCTCCCAGCAAAATCATGGAAAGCACAAGTTGTCAACCATAGTAGGATTTATAACAGTGAAGAATTAGCAATAATTTACCAAAAAAGTGAGGTTAATTAAGTAAACCATGTTATAGCCAAGCAATAAAATATTAGACAACCATTAAAAATGAAGGCTGTTTGGGGGGAAAGATGTCTATGGTACAGTGTTATGTGAAAATGTTGGGAGGTAATAGGATAGTATCATCTTAATTATTTTAAAAGAATTCAGATATGTATAGGAATAAAATGGAAGGAAATTCACCAAAATGTTAATAATAATTGTTTCACAGTGGTGTGATTATACTTTGTTGTTTTTAGCTTTCTTTATACATTTTACCCAATTTATATATCTCTGTTTTTAAAACAAAATTTTTAGAAAAAATAATGATGCTTGCACACATACCAGACAGTGGTGTCCACTGTGGGAATTCACAGAATGCAGCATATTTTAAAATAAATGTAAATGAGCAGCAAAGAGAATTTCCAGGTTTTAGTACTTCTAAAATAAGTAATGCATGTTTTTCCAAAAGTTTCTCTAAGTAACATTCGAAACAGATCCCTCTGTGACATGACATTTAACTGTGCTTTATTTTTGATCAACTTGTAGCTCTCCTGGATATGCGTATTAGTCAAGTTTATCTCTCTTCATCTGGGACCTAAATGTTTCACAAAGAGATTTTCTCAGAGAAATAACTTCTATAGACCTTATTCATTATTCATGTCAGCAAAAACTGTGCATTTTGTAGTGTTGGACCTTAGAATGGGACTGAGCCAATCTAGGAGGGTATGCTCAACTGAAAAGCTTCTAGACTCTGCGAGACTTGAAAAATAACAAATACAGAATTTCAGTTTGAGACTCTTTAATGGAAGGAGGTTGTAGTAAAATATGTGTGTTTAAACTTGAGATTCTGTAACCTTTTCAGGTGTTCTACATGACTATTGTTTCCTAGTATACCATTTTGCACAGTTTTTTAAATCAGTGAATGAAAAGTTTCATTAAAATGAGTTTTTTAACATCTTTATTGGAGTATAATTTCTTTACAATGATGTGTTAGTTTCTGCTTTATAACAAAGTGAATCAGCTATACATATACATATATCCCCATATCTCCTCCCTCTTGAGTCTCCCTCCCACCCTCCCTACCCCACCCCTCTAGGTGGTCACAAAGCATTGAGCTGATCACCCTGTGCTATGCAGCTGCTTCCCACTAGCTATTTTACATTTGGTAGTGTATATATCTCCATGCTACTCTCTCACTTCATCCCAGCTTAGCCTTTTTTAATGTTTCAAATAAATATGCAGAAATGTTAAAACCTAATGGAAAAGAATAGAAAGAAAAAGAAAATGTAGTAAAGGACTTTGCATTTTAAAATATTTGCATTAAATATCAAGAACTTGCATCCTGTCTACAACATATCTGAGATGATTGATTAAAAGATGCTTTTTTCATAGAAATACAGACCATCTTCATAGTCAGATTATTTTTGTAAATGGAAAAAGAAGGTAAAAATTGATGGTATAAATCAAATATTACTTTTTCAAAAAGCTGTGTCATAATAAGGGGGTTATATTTCTGATCAAGAACTTATTTAACTTTTCATTAATATGAGCACAAACACAATATTCAAGACTGCAAATTATTTCAGTCAGTCCCAAGGAAAGCAGGTCACTGGATCAAATTTTTCAAAATGTGTTTCTCAAGATAGCAATTCCACTTCATGTCCCAGTTACAAAGAGAACTGTCCTATAATCAAATGAATTTGAGGGACACTGGATTAAACAGAGTCAAATTGCTTTCTTTACTATAGGACTTCTAAGAGACTTTTATATGTTATCATGCAGTGTAAATTTCCAAAAATGTGTGGTACTCAGCAGTGCTTCCCAAACATATTTGACCACTGAACTCTCTTTGTGTGCAGCATCTCATGGGTGACTTCTGTGCATACAGATTGGCAAATACTGCTCTGTCGGAGCTGTGAGCTTCCATTTGTTCTGGCTTCAGACATCAGTTCTCATCTTTAACAGCAATATTTCCTTCTCAGCAAGAAGAAATTTCAGCTTGAAAAACAGCAAAAATAGAGGGGGGAGAAAACTAGAAAATTGTGGTGAAATGTATAACACAGCTTCTCTGGAACCACATGTTGTGAACAAGGAGTATTCCATTCATTTAATTAATAAGTAGATAAATGAAATTTGAGCCCTTCTGTCATTTAAATGAGATGTTAAAAGAGAAAAATGTAACTGCTCTCAAGAGGCATTAGAATGATCACAGACTTTCATAAGAATAAAAGTTTGGTATGAATCCTTTGGCAGTATTCTTGGTTCTCACCTGAAATCAGTAGTTGACTAGGAGATGAGCCATTCCTCCATGATGTGAAGGTGCTGGCAGCCTGATGAAAGTGATCATCTAGAGAGGATCAGAGCTCTGAAAGTGCTTGGGGACAATGGGCCATAATGGTTGAGAGGGAGTGAGCAATCACTGCTCAAAAGCAGTAATGGGGAAAGTTGGAGTCTCTAAGTGTCTCAGCAGCACGCTCCTGCCCTGCCTCTTTCATAAGCCTCTTGGTCTTGGAAGAACTTACCACTTTATCAGGCAAGACGTTAAAGCACAAAGAGACTCAATTCAATTGAATGGTCATTTGTTGGGGACAATGTACTATGCCCAAATCATTGCATTGAACCCTGGCCGAGAGGGCTAGTATCAACACAGTCCTTACTCCTAAGAAACAGACTCCCAGCTTGCAATTTTATACCAAAATGAATTCCTCAAATATGTGCTAGATTGTATGTTATCAAAAGAGAGGGAAGAGTTCACCTCTGGTAGAAGAATCAGGAAAGAGTCCACACTGGAGAGGACAAAGAGTGGGCTTTTTGTTTTGTTGATAGAATAATCAACTGCTGTACATAGTGGGGTTTTTTGTTGTTGTTTTGTTTTTTTCTGTAATCTACCACCAATAGTTCACCCTGTCCCAATAGACTGGAAGCTCTGCTGAGGGCAAGAACCAAGTGCTTTCATCTCTGTATCCCCCACTGTGCTAGCATGGTCTTAGACATGAATTAGTGGCCAATAAAATTTGATGCATTGAATTAAATTTAGTATTGTCTCTCACTGGAATAAGAGTACCTTTGGCTTTGGATATTTTTTTTTTATTTTATGTGCAACTGAAATTAAGAAAAATTACTGGCAGCATCTGCTAAACTGTTCATAACCCATAACGTTTCCCTTACCTGGCCTTTCCCACAACTGGCTACCTTTTCAAGAAATTCCTCACCCCATAGCCATATTTTCTTCTTCCTCAAAGGCCATTCCTACTGAATTCATGCAGCTTTCTCTGAGACATCAAGGAGACAGCTTGGGCATGGTTATTGTCTCAGGGGAGGAACATCAAACCCCATTCTCCCTTTACAAAGGACACTGATATCTGAAGAAACTTGTAGCAGATTTGGGCAACAGCCAGATAATTGAGTCTGTGCCCATCCTTATCCACAGCTCTGTCCTCACCCAGGACATCATGAAAGGTAAAAATCCAGGTATCCCTTGTACTCTAATGCTCCATTAGGTCAAGAAACACCTGCTTCTCCTCCAAATTCGACTACCATGAAAACTTCATCAAGACTGTTTTGGTCTCCAAAAGTAAACAAGAAGAGGTAAGCTGAGTGGGAAGAGAATATTTATCTAAGGGAATTTTAGAATCTAAATGTGTAGCCTTGAAACTAAAGGAGCAGTAAATATAGGGTGTAGTAAATTGCTTATGATGTGATAAACTAGAATTATAGATGTGGCAATAAAGGGAGGCAATAAAATATTTTATATTTAAGGAGCAGCTATCAGCAAAGGAATAGATCAAAATGCCATCTTTTGTTTATTTGTTTGTTTGTTTTTGTTTTTTTTAACATCTTTATTGGAGTATAAGTGCTTTACAATAGTGTGTTAGTTTCTGCTTTATAACAAAGTGAATCAGCTATACATATACATATATCCCCATAGCTCCTCCTTCTTGCATCTCCCTGCCACCCTCTTTATCCCACCCCCCTAGGTGATCACAAAGCACTGAGATGATCTTCCTGTGCTATGTGGCTGCTTCCCACTAGATATTTTACATTTGGTAGTGTATATATGACCATGCCACTCTCTCACTTCATCCGAGCTTACACTTCCCACTCCCTGTGTCCTCAAGTCCATTCTCTAGGCCTGAGTCTTTATTCCTGTCCTACCCCTAGGTTCTTCAGAACCATTTTTTTTTTAGATTCCATATATATGTGTTTGGAAACAAATACGGTATTTGTTTTTCTCTTTCTCAGTAACTTCACTCTGTATGACCGACACTAGGTCCATCCACATCACTACAAATAACTCAATTTCATTTCTTTTTATGGTTGAGTAATATTCCATTGTATATATGTGCCACATCTTCTTTATCCATTCATCTGTCAATGGACACTTAGGTTGCTTCCATGTCCTGGTTATTGTAAATAGAGCTGTAATGAACGTTGTGGTACATAACTCTTTTTCAATTATGGTTTTCTCAGGGTAAATGCCCAGTAGTGGGATTGCTGGGTGATATGGTAGCTCTATTTTTAGATTTTTAAAGAACCTCCATACTGTTCTCCATAGTGGCTGTATCAATTTACATTCCCACCAACAATACACGAGGGTTCCCTTTTGTCCACACCCTCTGCAGCATTTATTATTTGTAAATTTTTTGATGATGGCCATTCTGAGTGGTGTGAGGTGATACCTCATGGTAGTTTTGATTTACATTTCTCTAATGATTAGTGATGTTGAGAATCCTATCATGTGTTGGTTGGCAATCTGTATATCTTCTTTGGAGAAATGTCTATTTAGGTCTGCTGCCCAATTTTGGACTGGGTGTTTTGCTTTTCTGATATTGAGCTGCATAAACTGCTTATAAATTCTGGAGATAAATCCTATGTCAGTTGTTTCATTTGCAAATATTTTCTCCCATTCTGAGGGTTGGCTTTTTGTCTTATTTACAGTTTCCTTTGCTGTGCAAAAGCTTTTAAGTTTAATTAAATCCCATTTGTTTATTTTTGTTTTTATTTCCATTTCTCTAGGAGATAGATCAAAAAGGATCTTGCTGTGATTTATGTCATAGAGTGTTCTACTTATGTTTTCCTCTAAGAGTTTTATACTATCTGGACTTACATTTAGGTCTTTAATCCATTTTGAGTGTATTTTTGTGTATGGTGATAGGGAGTGCTCTAACTTCATTCTTTTATAGGTAGCTGTCCACTTTTTCCAGCACCAATTATTGAAGGGGCTGTCTTTTCTCCATTGTATATTCTTGCCTCCTTTATCAAAAATAAGTTGACCATATGTGCCTGGATTTAGTTCTGGGCTTTCTATCCTGTTCCATTGATCCATATTTCTGTTTTTGTAACAATACCATACTGTCTTGATTACTGTAGATTTTTAGTATAGTCTGAAATCCTGGAGGCTGATTCCTCCAGCTCCGTTTTGCTTTCACAAGATTGCTTTCACTATTCTGGGTCTTTGTTGTTTCCATACAAATTGTGAAATTCTTTGTTCTAGTTCTGTGAAAACTGCCAGTGGTAGTTTGATAGGGATTGCATTGAATCTGTAAATTGCTTTGGGTAGTAGAGTCATTCTCACAATGTTGATTCTTCCAATCCAAGAACATGGTATATCTCTCCATCTGTTTGTATCATCTTTAATTTCTTTCATCAGTGTCTTATAGTTTTCTGCATACAGGTCTTTTGTCTCCTGAGGTAGGTTTACTCCAAGGTATATTATTCATTTTGTTGCAATGGTAAATGGGAGTGTTTACTTAATTTCTCTGTCAGATATTTCATCATTAGTGTATAGGAATACAAGAGATCTCTGTGCATTAATTTTGTCTCCTGCTACTTTACCAGATTCATTGATTAGTTCTAGTAGTTTCCTGGTAGCATCTATAGGATTCTCTATGTACAGTATCATGTCATCTGCAAACAGTGACAGTTTTACATCTTTTCTGATTTGGATTCCTTTTTCTTCTCTCCTATTTCTGTGGCTAAAACTTCCAAAACTATGTTGAATAATAGTGGACAGAGTGGAAAACCTGTCTCACTCCTGATCTTAGAAGAAATGGTTTCAGTTTTTCATCATTGAGAATGATGTTGACTGTGGGTTTGTCATATATGGCCTTTATTATTTGAGGAAAGTTCTCTCTATGCCTACTTTCCTGAGGGTTTTTATCATAAATCAGTGTTGACTTTTGTTGAAAGCTTTCTCTACATCTATTGACATGATCATATGGTTTTTATCCTTCAATTTGTTAATATGGTTTATCACATTGATTGATTTGCGTATATTGAAGAATCCTTGCATTCCTGGGACAAACCCCACTTGATCATGGTGTATGATCCTTTTAATGTGCTGTTGGATTCTGTTTGCTAGTATTCTGTTGAGGATTTTTTCATCTATGTTTATCACTGATATTAGCCTGTAGTTTTCTTTCTTTGTGACATCCTTTTCTGGTTTTGATATCAGGGTGATGGTGGCCTCGTAGGATGAGCTTGGGAGTGTTCCTCCCTCTGCTATATTTTGGAAGAGTTTGAGAAGGATAGGTGTTAGCTCTTCTCTAAATGTTTGATAGAATTTGCCCGTGAAGCCAACTGGTCCTGGGCTTTTGTTTGTTGGAAGATTTTTAATCACAGTTTCAATTTCAATGCTTGTGATTGGTGTGTTTATATTTTCTATTTCTTCCTGATTCAGTCTTGGCAGGTTGTGCATTTCTAAGAATTTGTCCATTTCTTGCAGGTTGTCCATTTTATTGGCATAGAGTTACTTGTAGTAATCTCTCATTATCTTTTGTATTTCTGCAGTGTCAGTTGTTACTTCTCCTTTTTCATTCGTAATTCTATTGATTTGAGTCTTCTCTTTTTTTCTTGATGAGTCTGGCTAATGGTTTATCAATTTTTTTTTTATCTTCTCAAAGAACCAGCTTTTAGTTTTATTGATCTTTGCTATCATTTCCCTCATTTCTTTTTCATTTATTTCTGATCTGATTTTTATGATTTCTTTCCTTCTGCTAACTTTGGGGTATTTTTGTTCTTCTTTCTCTAATTGCTTTAGGTGCAAAGTTAGGTTGTTTATTTGAGATGTTTCTTGTTTCTTAAGGTAGGATTGTATTGCTATAAACTTCCCTCTTAGAACTGCTTTTGCTGCATCCCATAGGTTTTGGATTGTCGTATTTTCTTTTTCTTTTGTTTCTAGGGTTTTTTTTTTATTTTTTCTTTGATTTCTTCAGTGATTTCTTGGTTATTTATTAGTATATTGTGTAGCCTCCATATGTTTGTATTATTTACAGGTTTTTTCCTGTAATTGATATCTAGTCTCATAGCACTGTGGTCAGCAAGGATGCTTGATACAATTTCAATTTTCTTAAATTTAACAAGGCTTGATTTGTCCTCTGGGATATGATATATCATGGAGAATGTTCCATGAGCACTTGAGAAGAATGTGTATTCTGGTTTTGGGGGTTAGAATGTCCTATAAATATCAATTAAGTCCATCTTGTTTAATGTACCATTTAAAACTTGCATTTCCTTATTTATTTTCATTTTGGATGATCTGTCCATTGATGAAAGTGTGGTGTTTAAGTCCTCTGCTATGATTGTGTTACTGTCAAGTTCACATTTTATGGCTGCTAGCATTTGCCTTATGTATTGAGGTGCTCCTATGTTGAATGCATAAATATTTACAATTTTTATATCTTCTTCTTGGATTGATCCCTTGATCATTATGTACTGTCCTTCTTTGTCTCTTGTAATAGTCTTTATTTTAAAATCCCTTTTGTGTGATATGAGAACTGCTACTCCAGCTTCCTTTTGATTTCCATTTGCATGGAATACCTTTTTCCATCCCCTCACTTTCAGTCTGTATGCATCCCTAGTTTTGAAGTGGTTCTCTTGGAGACAGCATATATATGGGTCTTATTTTTGTATCTATTTAGCCAGTTTATGTCTTTTGGTTGGAGCATTTAATCCAATTACATTTAAGGTAATTATCAATATGTATATTCCTATTACCATTTTCTTAATTGTTTTGGGTTTGTTATTGTAGGGTTTCCTTCTCTTTTGTTTCCTGCCTAGAGAAGTTCCTTTAGCATTTGTTGTAAAGGTGGTTTGGTGGTGCCGAACTCTCTTAGCTTTTGATTTTCTGTAAAGGTTTTAGTTTCTCCATTGAATCTGAATGAGATCCTTGCTGGGTAGAGTAACCTTGTTTGTAGGTTTTTCCCTTTCATCACTTTCATTATGTCCTGTTACTCACTTCTGGCTTGCAGTTTCTGCTGAAAGTTCAGCTATTAACCTTATGGGGATTGCCCTGTATGTGATTTGTTGTTTTTTCCTCATTGCTTTTAATATTTTTTCTTTGTATTTAATTTTTGATAGTTTGATTAATGTGTGTTTTGGCGTGTTTCTCCTTGGATTTATCCTGTATAAGACTCTCTGTGCCTCCTGGACCTGATTGACTATTTCTTTTCCTGTCTTAGGGAAGTTTTCAGCTATATCTCTTCAAATATTTTCTCAGTCTCTTTCTTTTTCTCTTCTTCTGGGATCCATATAATTCGAATGTTGGTGCATTTAATATTGTCCCAGATGTCTCTAAGGCTGTCCTCAAT